CTTCCTAGAGAGGAATGTGGCTATGTATAACAAACTTACAGATACTTCTACCCTTTGATTGAATAACCTCACTTCTATGAATATGTGTAATGCTACACCTGTTAATTTATACTGAATTTATAAATGTATCTTTAGAACTCAGACTCAGCACCCAAATTAACCAATTCCCCATGCTTTATTTGTGTCATTCAATAAGCTATATACTACCATGTGCCATTTCTTCTTTTATTAAACTATTTTTATATTATTTTGTAATACATATGTATGTGTATAAAATGGCATATATAGCATTTTTTTTATGAGAGCAAAAGATTTTTAAGACACACAAATACCCACCAACAGACATTGGTTGACTGAAACTGAGGTATACCTCCATAATGGAAACTATGAACTTTCTCTAGATAGAGTAGTATTAAATCATAAGAAAATAATATTGGTGTGAGAGCATCTCAGGGTATAATGTTAAGTTTAAAAAGGTAACACAGAAGATGATGTATATAGTAATTGCATTTGACATAGGCTATGCACACAGAGTTACAAAAAGAAACACATGAAGGCACACAGGGCAGGCAAATCAGAAGCCAATTGTTTTTTTAAGAGATGGGGTCTTGCTATGTTGCCCTAGCCAGGTGCAGGCTGTGCACAGGTGCAGTCACTGCACACTGCAGCCACTGCACACTGCAGCCTTGAACTCCAGGCCTCAAGTCCTGCCTCCTCATCTTCCCAAGTAGCTGCACCAAAAAGCATGTAACCCTGCCTGGACCCAAAACTAAAATTATTAAATGGTATCTACTGGCAAGTATGGAAAGAGAGAGTATCATTTTCCTGAATATATTTTGGGTTAAATTTTTAAATTTAGAACTATGATTCATTCTAAATTTTAACTGTCAATTCACAAAAATGTTGTATAAATTCAAAACAAATTAAATATAAAAATAATTTCTAAAAGTGAAAGTAACTGAAACAAATGAAACATAGAAAGAACTGGTAACATAACCATATGCAGAAAAGCAATTATTTCAAGTAATTTTAGAACACAATAGTTGTACAAACACAGTGGGATATATTGTAAGAATGAAAGAAAAATATAAGAAAATCTCAAACTTTATTTGTCAATTTTATTATTAGTGGTGATGCTGATGTTACTACTTTAAAATTATTTAGAGAATATTATAAGATAATTATGTTTATATTTTTAGAAACCAAGATGTTCAATACAAATATAAAGTCAAAGAAGTTAAATAAATACTTGGAAATTTAATTGAAAGTGTCTGTATAAACTTAACACATTTTAAACTTTTTATTAGGAAATAATTTTAAACTTACAGAAAATTTGCAAGAATAATGTAGAAAATCATTTTACCATTTTCCCAGATATTTTTACTATTAACATTTTGCCTTATTTGCTTTATTGATTTATCTATACTTTTTTTCTGAAATAGTTGACAGTAAGTTGCATAAACCACGGTTGGGTGTGTTTAAGAGTAAGAATGTCATTGATATAAAAAAAACTTAGCATTGATTCAATACTTCTACCTAATCTACTCTCTATATCCTAAGTGTGTTGACTGGTCCATCATGTCCTTTATGGCAGCTGTGTTACCTCCAGGTTAGAATCAAGCCTAGAATCAGGAATACATTTAGTTGTTAAGTCTCTTTGGTTTCTTTTAGTCTGGAACATTTTCTCAGTCTTTCTTTGTCTTACATAACATTGACCTTTTAAAAAAGAACTTTAGAATAAACTATTCCTTATTTTGACTTTGTCTGATGTTTCCTTGCCATTAGATTGAGACTACACATTCCTAGCTAGACTACTATGGAAGGGACACTATGTCTTTCCCAGGGTATCGTACTGGTGATATTAATTCTTATATCTGCTCAGCGTGTATCTGATGTGTCTACTGTATCAGCATCATCTCTTGATTTAAACAACAATATATAGTTTAGGTCTTCCCACATAAAGGAGCGAGGACCTAGACCATAATGTTTCAGGGGCAATAATCACTACTACTGCCTCAAATTAGGTCTCTACATGCTATTTCCCACTCCCAGGGATTCTGGGAGTGATGTTTGCCCACAGGTGGAGAATAGGGAATTTACAAGGTGAGCTTGGAGCATCTCCTTGTGCCACAAAGTACAATGAGGAAGTTTTCAAACTCTGAATTGTGTCTAAAGGACTCTAGAGCCAGCTTGAAGGGGATCCCACTGGCCCAAGATGGTACAATTTAGTATCAAAAAGAAAATAGTATGGGCGCAGTGGCTCACACCTATAATCCCAGCACCCAGGGAGGCCAAGGAAGGAGGGTCCCTCAACTTAGTAATTCGAGATCAGCCTGAGCAAGAGTTAACCCTCATCTCTACTAAAAATAGAAAAATTAGAAGTGGTAGGCATCTGTAGTCCCAGCTATTCCAGAGGCTGAGGCAGGAGAATCACTTGAATTCAGGAGTCTGAGGTTGCTGTGAGCTAGGCTGACACCACAGCACTCTAACTGGGGCAACAGAGTAACACTCTGTCTCAAAAAAAAAAAAAAAAAAAAAAAAGTCATCATTGATTGGTGTGTATTGACTACATAAAAATCCATGAGTACATAGTAACAGTCCCTCCATCATTTGTAGGAGAAGGCATCTCGGGCTTTTTCACTCCTAAATGTTTTTGTACTCCTTGTCTGAAGAGTTGAGCAAGTTTCGCTTCTTCTGACAACTCAACTTTTTCAAGATCCAGCTCAGAAGCTGATTGCTCTGAGAAGCCTTTCTAAAACTTCTATTAGTTTATGATACTTTACATTCCAGTAAAGCTCATTATACGTGTCCCTTTAAACACATCTGTCAATACTGTACTGAAATTGCTTGCTTAACTGTATTTTTCTCTCCAAGTTATTGGTTTATAAATATAGGACCTATGTGGGTTTTATTTATTTTGTTATTCCTAATGTTACCACATGTTAAATACAATTTTATATACAATATTATATAATATGTTGTGAATAAACAGATCGATTTCAATAAAATCTCTGTTTCTTCTTGATCACACAATACATATTTGTCTCTATTTTAGAAAATGGTTGAGTGCAGTTAGAGGGTCATTTTAGCGAACGTTACAAAATCATATTACAATAGTTTTGAGTGTTTTTCTCTCATTTTTTTCATGTCAGTCATGGGTTTAGTGGTGAGTAGACTAGAAATACAGTCAACAACATTCTCTTGATTCATAGTCTTAGACAATAGTTTCCAATAGTATTTCATTCATCACAGTCTATTTTCTCTCCTTTTCTATTCACACACATAAAGCCATTATTAATGTCAGGCAGAGAGTGCTTAAAGGCTAATTATGGATTTTTTAAAACAAAACTTGTTTTAGTAATTGGTGGTTTGACTTAGTTATATGTTTAAAATAGTAGTCTGAATTTGTTTTTAATTTGATCCAGCGTCTGTAACACACCAGTGGTGCCAAGCCACTATGTAGCGTGTTCCAAGTAAGTTGCCCGCACTGAACTTTCCTCAATTGGGTCTCTCACCGTGTGGAATCTGTCACGCACATGTGCGTACATCAGCCTTAGGTCTCCGTGGACTTTTAAACATGAACAAGTTAGGTAGCAGAGATGGTCTAAACCGCCAGCCAAAGGTACGAACTCACTCCAGTGCGAGAATTCCCATGGAAGCCGGGGACAGTGAGCCCGCAGGCGCGGTCAGGCAGTGCCAGCGCCCGCGAGGAGCTGGGGGGACTGAGGCGTCAGCGGTGCGAGCTGGCAGAGATGCGCAGCGTGCTGACCCGCAGCTGAGAGTCGCCGCGCCGCGGGAGGGACGTGGCGCTGGCCGCGGTGCTAAACTCGCTTCTGGGGCCGCCGCGAGGTTGGCCGGCCAGAGGGAGACGGCGGGCGTGTGAGCTCGGGGGCGACCGCAGGTCTCGGTCTTCGGGTGCGCATTCCCGGCTTTGGGCAGGAGACGCAGAGGCCTCGTCCAGGGGCGTCACCGCACCAGTGTGGGTGCAGCCTCCGACCCATTCCCTCGGCTCCTGCTCTCAACATCACGTCCTGTATTTATTCACTGAGTGTTCATTGTGTCCCCGACACTGGACGTCCACTCCTAGAGATCCACACAACATCCGCCCAATTCCAAGAAAAATAACCAAAGCTCCGAACGTTGAAGACCTTGATCAAAGGGACACAACCAGGAAATGGCTGATCTTTGTCACTTACGCCTCACATAACGGCTACTGCGAACCTGCCAGCTCCGCACGCCTCCACCCCGCCCCTGTGCCCCCTCCCGCCCCTACCCCCGAGGTTTGGTTAGGGAGGAAGTATCTCCTGGGAGCCCTGGGAGGCGGGACCGGGTCGACTCGGGCCGAAGGCGGGACTCTGGGCTCTGAGCTCCCAGTTCCGACGAGTGGTGGCGGCTCTGAACCGACTCGCAATCGGCTCTGGGACTGCCTGAGCCTCCGGTCTGGTGCGCACAGCCCTCCTCTGAGGTCCCCTCCTGGTCCACCCCTTCCCAAGTGGAGATCTGCACGCTCGCGCTCTCTCCCCCTGTTCAGGAAGAATTGAGGTCCCGGCGCTGACAAGGTCCTCCCCCGCCGCCGCCACCATCCCCACTCCTACCCCCGTGTGACCTGCTTTCCCACCACGCTAGCCCTCGGGCGCCCACAGCTCGGAACACCGCCTCTCAGATCTCCACGGTCCCTGCGCGCCGGGGCGCGGTGGGAAGTGCGAGCTGGAGCTGGAGCTGGAGTTGGGAAGGTGACAGGTAGGTGTGTGGGCGCCTGTGAGAGGCGGAGTTGAGAGACAGCCTTGCGGGAAAGGGCTGAGGAAAGGGGAGGTGCCAGAGAGAGCCGGGGTCATTCTGTCACCTTTTACCACCAGTCTCTGTCTCCCCTTCTCCACATCGCACCTCTCTCTTCTCTCTCTTCTCCAAGCCTCTGTCCTGCGCCCACGCCGGCTCCTCCCTCTCACTGCCCGGTGCGTAAGGGGACCTCTTCGGGGACCAGGGGGATCCGGGCTCCTGGTGCAGCCGCGTCCCGAGGCCGGTTAGCTGAGCAGCATGCGGAACGCGACCCCGAGCGAGGAGTCGGGGCTCAACCTCACGCTCGCGGACCAAGGCTGGGACGGTTCCCCTGGCAACGACTCGACGGCCGAAGAGCCGCTGCCACTCTTCCCCGCGCCGGTGCTGGCGGGCGTCACGGCCACCTGCGTGGCGCTGTCCGTGGTGGGCATCGCCGGCAACCTGCTGACCATGCTGGTGGTGTCGCGCTTCCGTGAGCTGCGCACCACCACCAACCTCTACCTGTCCAGCATGGCCTTCTCCGACCTGCTCATCTTCCTCTGCATGCCCCTTGACCTCGTCCGCCTCTGGCAGTACCGGCCCTGGAACTTCGGCGCCTTGCTCTGCAAACTCTTCCAGTTCGTCAGTGAGAGCTGCACCTACGCCACCGTGCTCACCATCACCGCGCTGAGCGTCGAGCGCTACTTCGCCATCTGCTTCCCGCTGCGGGCCAAGGTGGTGGTCACCAAGGGCCGGGTGCGGCTCATCCTCCTGGTCATCTGGGCCGTGGCCTGCTGCAGCGCCGGGCCCATCTTCGTGCTGGTTGGCGTGGAGTATGAGAACGGCACCGACCCCCGCGACACCAGCGAGTGCCGCCCCACCGAGTTCGCAGTGCACTCGGGGCTTCTCGCGGTCATGGTGTGGGTGTCCAGCGTGTTCTTCTTTCTGCCCGTCTTCTGCCTCACGGTCCTCTACGGTCTCATCGGCAGGAAGCTGTGGCAGCGGCGCGGCGGCGCGGCGGTGGGCGTCTCGCTCCGGGACAAGAGCCACGCGCAGACCGTGAAGATGCTGGGTAGGTCGGCGTCGCGGTCCGGGCCGGCTTCGGCTTCCTCCACCCCCGCCCCCCGTCGCTGTCCTGGCTCCTTCTTTTGCTCTGTTTGTGTCTCTCGTTCGGTCTCTCCGTTCGGTCTCTTCTCTTTCGTGGAGAAATGCCCCCACCCTTTTATTTCCCTAAAATGAATTTTACATCTCCCTGGAAATTTGCTTCACAACTGAGAAATTTCCTAAGAGTGTACTGTGGTCTTTGCTAAACGTGAGGTTAAGCTTCCCGCCTCGAATAGAACTGTGGCTATCTAAGTTACAGGAAAACAAGCAAGCATTCTAGAAAATATTCAGTGGTAAATGTAACCACAGATAAGGTCAATTTGCTGATTAATTGTTAGAGCTAATTAATTCTTTCAATATTGTGATTTGTTTTCTGCCCCGCATTTTTTCAGACAATCGCATCAATTCTGTTTACACTGCCATTGTTTATACAGCTTTGTAAGAGGTCCGTGACAAACCAGTGGAGTCTCTTTATTTGTTTTTATGATCACCTGTAGGGTAGTCCAAGGACACGTAGGACAAGAAAGGCTCCAAGGGAAAAAGAGACTTTGTGGCAACAGATGAGACTTAGTACCCCTCTTCCCAAATGGCCCTTCAGGTACATCTGGGTGCAATGTCACCACTGAAGTAGGCTGAATATTTACTGTGCAAATTCAGCTTCTTTAAGTACGTGTTTGCTACAAGTGAAGTAATACAGAATGTGTTCACATCCAAGCAAAATATTACTGCTCCTCACTTTTCCAGAGCCAGTGTCTGTGTATTATATTATTTGGATATTATAGTCAACATTCATACTCGGTATATTTAATGTTTCTTAGGAGTCATTCCAGGGTGATTTCATATTTGCAATTTTATAATTTCTGGGTCCTGCATATTAAAGTGATAGTTTATTCAAGGAATGTCAAATATTTTATTTTCTAGATTGTGACTCACAGATTGTGAACCTGCTAACAACCTCCAGGGGACTATAAGCTTTCATCTATGATACTCACATTGTGACTATGGCAGTTAAATTGCTACCCTGTAACTTATTTTTAAGGATAAGTGGAATAATTTCTCCCAGTTTCATTTTTAAGCCATTAATTTTCTCATTGGTGTCTCAACATCAGTGTTATTTTTCTTATCCTTTGACAATTGGAAGGAACTTACCAAAGTGATTGAAGAATAAAATGTTATTTTTTATTATTGTACCTTTCATTTCTGAATTTTAAAACCTTAGTCTAAAAATTTAGAAGTCTTGAAAAATTATCATGCGTATGCAAAATGAAGACTTGGGTAGGTGACGGTTCATATGAGTTGGTGCAGTGGCCTTCTCTGCCTTACTTATGTCTATTGTAGGTAGCAGACAGTCATTAACCCAGTGTTCCTTAATCCTGACCACAGATTCAGACCTCTGTGTAACTTAAAAAAAAGAAAGGAAAAGAAAAGTCCTGATTTTAATTTAGTGAATCTATATTACATCCAAAGAATCTGCATTATTTAAAAAAAAATACAAAAGTTCTGATACACAGCTCTGGTTGCATACAGCCACTTTACCTCTTATGTCTTCTGTCTTAACACACAGAAAGTGGTTTGGGAACAAATAGTCCAGTCAGTGGAGTAAGCATGTCAACTCAATCTCAAAATCACTCAAATAGTTCTTAAACACAAATGGCTGGGAAGCTCAATAAAGATTGATGAACTATTGGTCCAGACAGAATCAATCTTTGTTAAAATGTAGGTGAAAGCAGTGTTTCTCTGAAGTAAATAGTCATGCTACTTAATCAAAATAAACCTAACTCTTAAGAATAGAATGTGACTTGCTATGATGTTTCTTGAACTGACTATCTTGTCTCCCATTGTCCTTTTAGCTGTAGTGGTGTTTGCATTCATCCTCTGCTGGCTGCCCTTCCATGTAGGGCGGTATTTATTCTCCAAATCCTTTGAGCCGGGCTCCCTGGAGATTGCTCAGATCAGCCAGTACTGCAACCTTGTGTCCTTTGTCCTCTTCTACCTCAGCGCTGCCATCAACCCCATTCTCTACAACATAATGTCCAAGAAGTACCGGGTGGCAGTGTTCAGACTTCTGGGATTCGAACCCTTCTCCCAGAGAAAGCTCTCTACTCTAAAGGATGAAAGTTCTCGGGCCTGGACAGAGTCCAGTATCAACACCTGACTCAGCGCATTGCTGAGCACAGTCATGGCTTACTGCCTGAAGCAATAGCGCAACAGACCTTGGGAGGAAGCCAGAAGTTAATTTTGGAATTAGGGATCCCAGATCTGGAAACAATTGGGAAGGAAGACAAAACATAATTTATAGGGTGTGAGTAGTTTGATTTGATTGCACACTCACCAGTGCGCTCATAAACTATCTCTGTATATTTGCTGCCTGTGATTTTGCATTCTGCGGCTGGTGCTGGGGAGAGCTTTGCAAATCGGAGAAAGGAAGAAGCACAGAGTGGGCCATTAGGGCACTTTCTGTCAGTAAATATGAAACCGGATTTAGATTTACTTTGCTTTTTCATAATGACTGTAATTATTTGGTTATAAGAATGACATTAAAATAAAAAATAAAATAAAACAAACATTTTAAAATAAGCCTTTTAAAACTCAGACTTTTTATAAAGCTTTAGACAGCATTGTCCAAGGGAAACGTTATGTAAGGCACACAGGTAATCAATATAAAAACCATTAGTAAGAAATTTACTTTTCTTTTTTCACACTAGGACTTTGAAATCTGGTATATCTCTCACATGTACAGAACCCCTCAATTTGTACATTCAGTTTTCATCAGTAATGCTAGATGGATTTAGATTTCATGAAATTTACAAATGAAAAAATAGATTCAACAACCTAAATTGTCTAAACACACTAGCTATTCAATAACTAAAACAACTGTAAGTTTATAAACTAAAATTAATTAAAATTAAAATTTCAGTTCTTCAGTAGCCACGTGTAGCTTGAGGTCACCACATTGAAAGATACAGTACTAGAGTGTATTTAGAATCATCACTCATCTTGTATAAAATGTTCAAAAACAAATACCCTTTCCCTGAAATGCTTTTGCAATGAAATTAGCATATCAAAATTTTAGAGTACTGAATCCTAAAAATCACACCTAAATGTCCTATTGTTCATGCTTGGAAATGATCAGCTATGAAGTGTAGAAGAGACATTTTTAAATTAAGTTGAATTATACATGTAAAAATCCAGGAAATAAAGCTTTATAAAAATTATAGATAATCACAAACTGTCTTATTTGGTTTAACAGAAATATTGAAGGCAATCATAAATCAGAAAGCTTTGATTTGTGAATAAAGGAATAATTTATAATACCCTGGCAAGCTTACAGGAAACTTAATGCACATAGAAAGTTTTTGAGTAGTTAAAGCAGACCCATGTGAAAAATAGAATTCCCTAAGTGCTACCATTTGTTGATATTCAAAACTTTAAAAAATTATACCTATAGTCATTTATTTCAAAATGCCTATGCTGTGTCCTGTCTTCAAGTTTTTTCTGTTTTCCCCCATTGCTTATCTGATAGATATGTTTAGAAGAATCTCCAGTCTCTCTCTTAGTCATAATTATGCATGAGTAGATACCTTCAACTAAATATTGTATGTTTGGGTTATGAATATAAAATTTTTGTTTCTATTGACTTAGTTCCCTATGTAGCTAACCCTTTGAAAATTAAATATACTATTTCAAAAGTGATTTTGTCATAATCTCATGCAATAGTAAGTCACATAAATAGTTCATCCATGTATGGAAATGATTGAGCCATTTAGGAAAGTCACTGCCATGATTATTTTCCCCCCATTAAAAGGAAAGATTATCATGCTGGAATAATTGATTGCATATTTATTTTGAAAACAACATTGAAACACAGTCATAATTAATAATTCCACAATTCATTTACACACTAAAACTACACCATCAGTTTGATCCTAAATGTAGAAATTTAGCAAGTTGATTGATAATTCATTCAATAATTTAGGAGTACATCAATATATTTAAAAGGCACACCTACTCATTTACATCTATGGGATATTAATTAGGGCATTCAGCATTATAGCCTTGGATAATGCCCGGTATATCCCAGAAAGGTAATAAGTTTCCTGAAGCCTTAGCGTTTTTGTCTACAAATGCATCCTACTTGAGAGGAAATAAAAGACGTGACCTCTATCACACAGTCAATTGCTTTGAAGAAAATCGAAGCTGACTTCTGGTTACTTATTTAAGCTGTTCAATGGTTTCTCCCTCCATGTGGGCTCCTCTCTTGTCTAACCCTAACTCGCTTCCAGGAGATAGTTCACGAAGCAAGGACCAGTCCTGTCCATCACTGGTATTCATCTAGGAACTCAGGGAAGATGTTTAGGGAAAGGGAGCTTTGATGTGTCCTTGTGTGCCATTGCCTTTGCTTGGAATGTTATCACGTTCCATAAATCAGTTAAGACTCAGTGAAGAGGAACTTTTAACATTAGGAAAATTCTTTCCAAAAGTCCATAATGTCACAAGCACTTAGTATGTGCTTGGTATTTTCTAAACTTCAGCAATTAATAAGCCAAGGATTTTATGCTTATGGATCCCATAGTCATGTGTGTGTCATGCTGCAGTAACTGAGAAGTGTCTCTCAGGAGGGAAGTAGACATCTCTGCTTGACACTGGGACAACTTGCCCGTCAGCATTTCAGGGGCTGTTCATGCCCCTGTGTTGTGTATTTACCCCCAAACAAGTTTGAAATGAGCTGTTCCTACCAGAACCAGTCAAATTTGCAGAGACGGTTGATGTATCTGTTAGTGGTAATTACATTCACAATGTTCTCCACTGATGTAGGGGCAGTAAAGGGATCTTGGAAATGCAACTGGTTCACTTTTCCTGGTTATTAGCAATGAGATTCCTGTAAGCATATCCTACATCCCACTACAAAGTCAAGGTTGGATCATTTTCATTATAATTATTACATGAGCAAGAACATTTTAATAATTGCTTTAAGGAAAATATTCATTGCCATGGGTCTTTTAAAATGAGAAATTTTGTGGTAATGAGTTCTAGAAACACTTTTGTGTCTGGCCCTGAAAACTATTTTACGGCCAATTTTGTACGGAATCTTTGTAAGGAAACTTTGTCCTTGTGATGGGATCTGGCTTGAAGGTCCAGCTTCTCATGCTCATACTTTTGTTAAGAATCTAAAATCTTCACAATTTTTAGTTTTATCTTGACAGTTTTAGCTATTTTATTTGCTTTTATGTATCCACATACTTGAATTTAGTATTAAAAACTGTGAGGATTTTTTTTTAGAAGATTCATGCCTGAAAATAATCTCTTGTTTAAAAAATAGTGTGTAATTCTTTAAAATGTGACAAACAAATTTACATGTATCAAAATTTTTTGTCACAATGTGTGAAAACAGAGCTTTTTGCTTTCAGAAATACTGTGTCTAGGGCAACTCCTGTGGCTCAGTGAGTAGGGCACCGGCCCCACATACCAAGGGTGGCAGGTTCAAACCTGATCCCGGCCAAACTGCAACACAAAAAATAGCCAAGCATTGTGGCAGGCACCTATAGCCCCAGATACTCGGGAGGCCGAAGCAAGAGAATCGCCTAAGTCCAAGAGCTGGAGGTTGCTGTGAGCTATGATGCCATAGCACTCTAAGAAGGACAACAAAATGAGACTCTGTCTCTAAAAAAAAAAAAGGAAGAAAGAAAAGAAAAAGAAATACTATGTCTAGTGTAAACAATGTCATTGAAGTATGAAGATAATGTCATTACAATGTCTAATATATTAATTAGATATATACTAGATGATTACTTAACTAGATGATTAGTGACCAATGGTAATTCAGAGAATTGATAACACAAATACTTTTTATATCGACAATGAGCTGTAGTCAAAATCAACAAAAAGCAATGTGCTAGGTTTTAAGCTCACATCACTTATTCACATTAAATGAATTCAGTGATAATATTGGCAATAATCTAGGTTTTAAGTAGGTGGGGGAGAAGGTTTGGATGTGGCTTGTTTCTGTGTTTTTCCTTTTGAACGCTAACTCTTTTAGTATGCTAGAAGCTAGCCCTTTCAGGTTGAAAGAATTACTCTAATCAAAAAAGAAAAAAAAATCTGCCTTGTTTATGCCCCTCCCAATAGTCTAGATATTTGCTGGAATTCCATTTACTGTTTCATGTTGTGATTTCAAGGGTCCACCAACTGCCCTCAGAATTGGCAAACGAACCTGGAAGGTCACGTCTCCTGTGAGCGCTCAGAAAGTTCCACCAAGATGTTTATACATATTCATTCCAGAAGAACAGCTCTCTCCTCTAGCCACAGGGAAAGCACTGGGAAAGAACCATTTGAAGGATTTCCTGTGGCTTTAACATCTCAAATTCAAAGCATTTCTTTGGCTGAAACAACAAAAACATTTATGTAGTTTAGTGTGCTAGAAAACGCTTGTTCATCTAAGTACACCCAAGTGATGCAGCCCTCTGTTTGACTGATAGGTGGTGTACTGTAGGTCTATATAGAATTTGATACTTGGTTGATTTGTGATGTCATCATTGTTTTTTGTTTGTTTGTTTGTTTGCTTGTTTTCTTGAGACAAAGTCTCAAGCTGTTGCTCTAGATAAAGTGCTGTGGCATCACAGCTCACAGCAACCTCAAACTCTCAAGCAATTCTTGGGCTTAAGCAATTCTCTTGCTTCAACTTCCCAAGTAGATGGGACTACAGGCATCCCCACAATGCCCAGCTGGGTTTTGTTGTTGTTGTTGTTGTTGTTGTTACAGTTGTTATTGTTTTAGCTGGCCCGGGCTGGGTTTGAACCAGCCAGCCCTGGTATATATGGCTGGCACCCTACCCACTGAGCTATGAGCGCTGCCCTTATCATTGTTATAATGTGTAATAAATGTCACTGATGATATTTTGACTTGAATTATTTTCCTGTAAATTAGTTGTGAATTTTAAAGAAGAGTTTATTACAGCTCTCATGTACCTGACTTGTGGAATTAGGCATCAGCTTTCTTTCTTTTGGGTGTCCTTAACCAAACAATTGCTTAATAAATATCTTTATAAACCATGTAGCTGACTTCTTCCACTTACAGTTATAAATGTTGATGTCTGGGATATTTTTATCTCTACCCTCTCCTAGATTTTGTTTCCTTTTGTCCTTTTAATTTCTGAAATACGTATTCTGCAACTATGAGGAGA